CCAAAATAAGAACCTTGCAGTCCACATCTCATTTCACATTGCTCTTTTAGCACCATACTGGTGCTCATAAGATTGCAGAGCTGAGAGCATATGTGCAGATTCAAATATTGCCTTGTGAATTCTGGCCTGTTTACCAAGAAAACAGTGGTGGTAAAGTCCTACCTACCTTGGCCACTGACCAATGTACAGTTTAGCATGGTTTGGTCCATCCCAGGGTCTCATTAAGACGAGCTTCCCTAATTTCGTAGTAGCTAAGTACACGATAGTTCAGTTTCCGGAAGGGAATTTGGTATTCCTGAAAAACCGTTCAGATCCCTAGCTAAAAACAGGGGCATTAGCTTTTCATGAAATGTTTGTCCCCAACTGCTTCTGTCCTAGTGCTGTCTGTCAGAATTCAGGGGCACTTAGTGCCTGAGGGAAATGGAGAAAAGAAATCAGAGATCCTATTCCTATGAAAAGATTTGGTAGACATTATTTTAGTCATTTTATGTTACCATTCAAAATGATTGGCTCTGTTGTGATATTTTCATACATGTATATTTTGTTCATATTTTCTCTACCCATGGAAATTCTAATAGAATAATTGAGGATTTGAAGAACTTTAGGAAAATATGAGTTAAAAGACCTGGGTCAAGTGTGAACATTTCTACTTTCCTGGATATATTTTGAGACTGGGTTATTATGTGCCATCCACTACTAACTGAAAGAGATTTCAGCTAGAGTTAGCATACTATAATCTGATTTGTTAAAGACATATTCTCAAGTGCTCAAGTCATTCTGTTACCACATAGGTGTGGAATCCATATATACATGGGGTGCAATTAATGTGTACAGAAAAAGGAGTCAGAGCAAGTTTGATGAACAGATGTTTTAATAGGAGAGTACTCAGGCAATGGAGTCAGTCTCCTACTACCAGGCTAACCAGGAAAAGAGAGCCACCTGTGACCTTCATATTTAAGGTCTTGTTACATCACTGACCATACCCTAGTGTGCATGGCCTGTGTCACCTGTGCCAACCCCCAAGAGGGCATGGCTAGCATTTCCCCTACATATATATTGTATGTGAACTACATATTTGCATATATGTGTATTATACTATACAGTCTACTTAACTCTGCTTGACTCTAGACCACTGATGAGATAAGGTTATGCTTATTAATCAAGGACAACAAAAAATAAGTGAATAGAAATACATCACATGCAGGTCTTATTTTAAAATATGTTTGAACACCTAAACAAGTAATTACAGACAACTGAGGCATGTTGAAAACAAGAGAAGTAGTCTTCGCCCATGGAGGAATACTCTAATTGGTTATCCAACACCAACTAGTCAGCCCTGAAATCATGCACACTACGGTGGACAGATTTAGCAAGTTATATCTTTATATTTGTGCATTTACATATTATATACATGCAACAATAACAATTAGGAAAGAGAAGGCCAGTAGTTTGATAGGTATTGAGGTGAGAGCCATGGAGGGGGTGTTGTGAGAAGGGGAGGGAATAGGAAATTCTGTAGTGATACTTTAATAACAATATTAATGATAATAAATTTTAAAAAATAAAATAAAAATGTGTGGTCATGTTTACTTCCTATAGCTGCTAACCTGCTCTCATTTCCCATCTCATACTTAGTTGCTGCCTTGAAGCCTTGAGAAAGTCATTACATTGTCTAGTACTTTTATGTCTTATTTAGCAATAAGATCTTAAAGTACCTACCTTAGATGATCACAATGAGAGCAAACATGCATAATGCCCAAAAAAAACTTGTCAAGGTGCTAATCAAATGCTTAATTTTTTAAAATATGTTTTTAAATACTATTGCATTTATTTGTTTCAAGATTTGTTTATTTATTATGAATACAGTATTCAGTCTGCATGTATGCTGGCAGTCCAGAAGAGGGCACTAGATCTCATTACAGATAGCTGTGAACCACCATGTGGTTGCTGGGAATAGAACTCAGGACCTCTGAAAGAGCAGTCAGTGATCGTAACCTCTGAGCCATCTCTCCAGGTTCAAATGTTTAATTCTTAACTAAAAGGCAAAGATTGACAGCAACCATAATGTTAGCTATGATGCTTTGCCCTCAAGTTTGCTCATGGTCAGCAGCATCAGTATCACCTAGAAGTGAGCTACAAATATGCATTCTCAAACCCAGTCCACCTCCTGCCTCATAACATATCTTCTAATGAGATATGCCTTGGAGGAACTAATAAAGTCCACCTGAGACTCAGACTCATATTAACCTTTAGTCAAGAGACTTAGAATAGGTAGCTGCCAACCAAATCCCAAGACTTTAAATTCACCATCTCTCTCATCTTCCACAGATATCTGTAACAAAAGGGGTATGAAACTTCCTAGATATCATTGTTATTTCTTTAGCCCAAGCTGTAACTAACAGGATATTTTGAAGCACATTTTCATGTCTACCATTATATCAAGAGCACCATAGTTTTGTTTTGTTTTTCACATTTTTAATTATTCAGCTGTCTTATTTGTCACTGTTTGGGGAATTACTGCAAACTTATGTCTAAAATGCTTCTGATTAATGCATATTTAGGCAACTAAGCAGATGCAGAATGGGCTGACTGCTTTCATAAAATTAAACATTGATGAAACATGTGTTTACACAGCAATAATGATGCCACATGTGCATAAATAATGACAGATCTTCTTCCCTAATCATCCCAGGGTAAAAATGATGAATGAGAGACAGATTTAGAAAACATGTCTGGCTTGCTATGTGAACTACTTTCAAGGGTATTTGTACATGTGAATAAAATTATGTTAATTTATAGCATCTATTAGCACATAAAAATAAAAGAAGTTGTTATTAGTTTAAAAAGATACGGGTTATCATATTGTTCTAGAAATGTTGAACTTATTTTTTTTCCATTTGTACAGGGGTAACGCACTGTATTAAATATGTAAGGTCTTAAAAAAAAAAGAAGTGATTTTGAGAGCCCATCCCATATGAAGGGATGCTCTCTTGACCTGGACACATGAGGAAGGGCCTCGGCCTGGCCCAGGATGATGTGGTAGACTTTGGGGAGCCCCTTTTGAGGGCCTTACCCTGCCTGGGGACAAGAAGGGGGATTGCTAGGGGCAGGTGGGATGTTGGGGGGAGGGGAAGGAGAGGGAGAAGGGATTGACATCTGAAGCAAGCTTGTTCCTAAGTTGAACAAATAAAATAAAATAAAAATTTAAAAAAAGATACGGGTTATATATGTAAAGAAAAAGGGCCACCCAAAGAAACAAACCCTGAGCAGAGCCAAAGAAACACACTTTGTCCCTGGATTCAGAGCCAGTGAAAGAAATACACCCTTGCCCAAAAATTAGAGCCAAAAGGTTAAAAAGGACCAGTGAAAGAAACACATTTTGGTACTGAAACCAGAGCCAAATCTGACCCTAAACCTATGCAGAAAACCAACCAATCCCTGAGCTGGAGATCTAACCATCCTAAGCTCAGGGATTGAAATCTGACCAATCCCCACCCTGGAAAAACTCTGCCCCCTAAGAATCCCTATATAAATCCTGTGTCTGTACAGCTTCTTGCTGTTCATACTGCCCAGCTGTTCTCTGGCAGAGGGCAGACACTCTCCTGGATTCTTCCTTCCCAATAAATCTCTTGAATGAGGTTTGAGTGAGACCTATTTAAGCAGGAACAGAGATGACCCTGGGCAGAGGGGAGCAGGGCTGTAACACTTTTCACTGGGGAAAACTTCCCCTGGTGTACTGAAGTTGTTACACTCACTCTGGTAACAACTTCACCAGAGAAACCCTCTCCTGCTGGAGCAGAGCTGATACACTGGGAAAACCTTTCCCTGAAGCAGAGCTGTAAGCTGCTATGCTTTGCTTACTGTGACCTGTGGTATTGCCTGGCTTCTGAGTGCTAGAAACTATCCCTGTCCATCCCATCTGAGCCGTCAAAATACTTACAATATATCAGAGGAAATAAACATTTTAGGGTAATCTTCTGCAGTACTGAAGATTAACTTTATACAAGATATGTTCTGGGGTTATAAGTCACTCTAAGGTATATCTTTGCATGTCTGGGATTGAAATCTAGTTGTGTTTGATAGCATGTCTCAGTTTGATTGACAGGATTTGTGTGTGTGTGTGTGTGTGTGTGTGTGTGTGTGAGTGATGTGATCTTAAATTCAGTTGTTGAGTACTGTGATCTCTGGTACTTTATCCCAAAAAGAATACCTCAGTGAGTGAAACAGATGGGACAGGAAAGGCATCTCATTTCTTGCCAGCAGTCAAACAAGAAAGGAGACTGATGGTAAAGAATTCGAATCAAAGAGGACATCAGCTTTTACAGAGCCAAAGAGCAAACAAGAGGACTCTGCATGAGATTAGGAAAGGCCAGTAGGGAAATGGCAAACTAAAAGAGGTATTAAACACCAAGATAGAAAGAACAGCAATGGCTTCCTATGATAAAGGTTGGATCCACCTGTTATGTCCTGTAGTAGACATTCAATTTTGATGTTGTGTTCTATGGTGGTATAATGAGAACTGATCCATAGTCTGTATGGTTAAGATATCTTTATTCAGATAAACACCAGCCAAAAGCAAGCCAGAGCGTGCCCACGGCAGCAAGGCAGCGAGGCCAGAGAGAAGGGGCTTCCCATGTGCTTGCTGCCCCTTAAGAGCCCATCCCGAATCATCCTGACCTCACCTTGACCATGCCTTCACAGGTGTGGTCAGGCACACCTGTAGCCAGCATCTAGCATTAAGGCGTAGCTTAATGTCTCCTACAATGGTGGGTTTCAACTTATGTCTTTTGTGGATTGCAATGTTATGACCTGTGATAGCCAATCAACTTGCCATTCCTGTTATGAAGACACATTGATCAATAGAGGTCTTAGAGGATAAGACATTTTAGAAGCATCTTTTAACAAACTTTTTTCTCTTCTACATGAACATACACTTCTTGAAATGTATATTTCACTGAAAATGCTTAAATGGTTATTAAACAGTTTCTTTGATCTTTCAGGTAATATCAAGATTATCAAACAAATCAGCAGTCTCACAGGTATGATGACTTTTGTTTTATATTTTTTATTTTGGTTTTAGTTTGCTATGTGGACAAAGCTGACCTAGGACTCAACCATGGTCCTGCATGTTTTGTTATTATTCAGTTCTGGTATCATGATAAGACTGACCTCGTAGAATAAGTTTTAATAGTGTTCTTTCTCTTTCCAGTTTACAGAGCATTTTAATGTTATGCCTTCCTTAAAGTTTTGATAGAGTTCAGCAGTGAGTCCAGACATGAGATTTTCTTATAGGAAAGCAAAGATAACTCCTTGAGCCCCATTTCTTGCTTACATTGTTTATATCTTTGAAAAATATAATGTCTAGGATTTTATCCATTTCTTCTATATTTTTTAAATAATAAAGTTTCTGAAGTATTGTTTTCAATATTTTGGATTTCATTTGGATTATTTCTAATTTTATTAATTTGGGTTTTGTTTTACTTTTGGTTCTTCTGAATGAAGGTTGCCAATTTTCTTATCATTTCAGCATGCTAATTTTTGTTTGATTATATGCATTGTATTTTTGGTCTCCATTTCATCAATTATATGCCTGGTCTTTATTATTTCTTAATGCCAACTGCTTTTGCATTTGGCTTGTTATGGTAATGCCATATTAAGGAAATTAATCTACTGATTGAAAGCACTTAAACGAGAGCCTCATCTGATCTGTTTGCTTCTCTCCATGTGTCCCATCTGTCTTTGTTGAATCAGCCATATAACATCACATTTAACATGGTATGGGAAAGGAATGAGAAATCGTTGTCTCAAACTTTTGCCAGAGTTTTACAAGAGAAATACTCTACTGAACCATATAACATACAAAACTGCAAACAAATGTTATCCTTCTGTATCCATATATTGCTTTCAACATTTATTATGGCTAAATCATTGCTTGCAATGTCCACTGCTTTCCACAGTGGTATCAACGATATTATATTTAACCACCTCTCTCTCTGTCTCTCTCTCTCTCTGTCTCTCTCTCTCTCTCTCCCTCTCTCTCTCTCTCTCTCTCTCTCTCTCTCTCTCTCTCGCTCTCTCTCTCTCTCTCTCGCTCTCTCTCTCTCTCTCTCGCTCTCTCTCTCTCTCTCTCGCTCTCTCTCTCTCTCTCTCTCTCACACACACACACACACACACACATACACACACACACACTATTTTGTGTCAAAGGCCTGAAAGGGTCATAGTTTAAAATTAAAGCATTGCATTCAGTGTCCCAGGCTTTTTCTTTTAGGCCACCAAACACCTCCCAAATCATGATAACAGAGACTTCTGATTAGTTATGAATGCTGGGCCTTAGCTTAGCTCTTATTTCAATCTGTTTCTCTTTACCTACATTTTGCCTTATGCCTTCCTCCAGGGTCTGGCTGCCTGACTTCTGTCCCCAGGCATGTGCCTCTCTTTCTCCCTCATTATTACCTCCTTTTCTCTTCTGAGCCTAGATTTCTCCTCCTACTTACTCTCTCTTACTGCCAGCCCTGCCTTTCCCTCTCTGACCAGGTACTGGCCAGTCAGCTTTTTAGTAGACCAATTAGGCATGCAAGGTAAAACAAAGGCAACCAGCTTTACATAACTAAACAAATGTAAGGCATCTTTACATTGTTAACAAAGGCATCATAAACAAATGTAACAAACAAATGTAACACATCTTTGCCTAGTTAAAATAATATTCCACAATAATTCAGTTTAACCCTGAAAATGCTAATCACATGAATAATAGTAGCCACCCACTACTGTTACATCAGAACATATGTGAACTTTTATGCCCATTAAAATTCACTTTAGCATGTATGTTTAAAATTGCTGTATCTTTTGTTCTCTTTGTTAATATGCCTTAGCCTTTTTGTTTCTTATACTTTTGGCTTATAGTCTACTTTATTAGATGCCTGAATAGCCAAGACAGCTTGTTTTGGCCTACCATTCCCTTAGTATATTGACATTCTTCCTGTAGTCACTGTCTGCCTATGGATGTCTTTGCCAGTGAGGTATGTTTTGTATAGACAAAAGATACCAGGAAATAATTTTTTAATCTAGTAAATCAATCTAATTCTCTTTTGTTGGTGAATTGAGGCTATTTATATTTAAGGTTATTCCTGAGAGATATTTTTCAAGTACTGTGATTTTATTGGGTGTTTTCTTGGTTGATTAGATCATTGTGTGTTTTCTTTCTTCCCTTTTAGTACTAGGGATTTTCTGGCTTACATTTTGGACAATTATGGATTCCTACTCAGCTTTCTTTTTTATTTCTTCTCTTCCCTTTGAATGTTTTCTTTCCTGTGCTCCCATGAAACTTTCCTCTTTATTTAAGTATCTTCTGTAATGTTGGTATTGTTTTCATGGAGCACCTTAATTTTTGCTAGTCTTAAAATATTCTTATTTTGCCATCAATTTAAAAAGACAGCTTTACCATGTATAACAATCTTGACTGAGAGTTATTTAATGACTTAATATGTGTCATTTCCTCTTTTGTGGCTTTTATGGTTTCAGATGAAAGATTAGATGTTGTTCTGGTGTGCTTGTCTTTGTAAGATAAGTTGGAATTTACACCTAAATATTGCTTCTTGCTTTGTGTTTCTAACATCCTGATTCTATTACATTACAGAGAAGTTCTTTTCTGGCCATGTTCATTTGGGGTACTAAACACATTTTACATTCTGGTGTCCATTGCTTTTTCTAGGACAAGGAAATTTCTGCTCCCATTCCATTTTATGGATTATCTAGGACTTCAGTTTTTAATCTATGTTTATTATTATAAACTGTAGATTCTTAAATTTGGGCTTATGATTATATTCAGAATTCTTTGATATTGTGGTTATGTCATTTATTTTTCCCTAATTGATGTTTAATTATGTATTTCCTCCATAATGTGTTCCATCCCTGATAGTTATACAATTGCCACTGTGTTTATTTTATTAAGTTTTCCATTTCTGACATTTTAATTTTTTCAAAATCTTAGAGTTCTTGTCCAGTTTCTTTTCCATGTTGCTAACTTCTTCCATGTTCCTGACTGACCCATTTGCTTTTCTGACTTTTCCCTTTGTGTTGCTGACTTTCGTCTATAGAGCCTAGACTAGATTTATCTGCTCTTTTGTCTTTGGGGAGGATAGTCACTGATCATTTACACTAGTGTACTTTTGAAATTTTGATCTGAAGGACTGTGGAGATGGCTTGTATAGCATGAGGAGATCCCCAGAACCCACATCAAAACCAAACAAGGTGGCATGCATCTTCAGCCCCAGTGCTGAGAAGGAACTTTCTGACCCTCCATTTTGCTTTAGAAGTTTCCCTTCTGAACTCTAATTAGTCACACTCAGTATGGCCTCCCACCTTCCCAAGGCTCACTAAGTATTGAGGTGGATGTGTTTCTCCACTGGTGCTGGTAACAACCATAATACTGAGATCTGCACAGGTACACAGTCTGATTTGCACTTCTGATTTAGACATTTCCTGAATTAAGACTTTGCTCTGATGACTCCAAGCTGTATCAAGCTGATAATTAAAGATACCTAGGACAGTTCATTGCCAATAGTCCCTCTAGATGGAGTTTCTGTCCCACCAGGTCCCATAGCTGATTAGCCCCAAATAAACACACAGAGACTTAAAGTAATTATAAACAGTTTAGCCGATAACTCAGGCTTCTTACTGGCTAGCTCTCTTTTAATTATTAACCCATAACTATTAATCTATGTGTTTCTACATGGCCTTATCTTACCAGAGAACACCTGGTGCATCCTTTCTTCCCAGTAGCTACATGGCGTCTTCTCTCTGCCTCCCTCTCCCAAGATTTCTCCTCATCTGGTAGACCCACCAATACTTCCTGCCTGACTACTGGCCAATCAGCGTTTTATTCATCAACCAATAAGGGACACATATACACAGAAGGACATCCCTCATTAAGTCCCTGTTACGATAAATCTTTCTGCCAAAAGCCTCCTGAGTTCTATCGACACATAGATGGACAAAATAATACACAGACTTATATTAGGTTCTAATGCTGCTTGGCCAATGACTAGGATTTCTCATCTGCTAGCTCAGTCTTAATTATCATAAATATATATATTTTATAAGACTTATCTTATCAGACACCTTTCATTGGTGTCCCCACTTGCCAGTGGATCACATCGTGCCGATAGAGAGAGAGAGGAGGGGAAAAGGGGACACTTCCTGTTTCTCCTTGCTTAAATATGAGTCTCCTTGCTATGTCACTTCTGGCCTGGATCACCACTCTCATCTTAATTATCATAAATATATATATTTTATAAGACTTATCTTATCAGACACCTTTCATTGGTGTCCCCACTTGCCAGTGGATCACATCGTGCCGATAGAGAGAGAGAGGAGGGGAAAAGGGGACACTTCCTGTTTCTCCTTGCTTAAATATGAGTCTCCTTGCTATGTCACTTCTGGCCTGGATCACCACTCTCACTACATTTCCCAGAATCCACTTTGACTCCTAGTCCTGTCTAACTTGCTGTCTCATTGGCCAAACAGAACTTTATCATCCAGTAAGACAAACACATTCACAGAAGCACTTCCCCCATCATCTCCTATTTTCTGTCTAATAAAAGAAGGATAACTTATCTTTTATAATAACAGAAGAAAACTATAACCATAACTATCTGTCTTCAACTCTATCAAAGACCACAGAAGGATAATATATAAACTCTAGAATTGACTGAACATCTTCCTACCTGGAAAGTCACCCAAAGTAACATTGGGGCATCCATCTTCAGCCCATAGGCCATAGTGTGTCTGGCATACTTCTCCATCTCAACAGAAACCCTTCAGTGCTGTCTTGTTTTGTAAGTTCAGCAGTCACTTTCTTGTGGGTCCTGCATGTCCAGTTTATACAGCAACAAACAATCCAGGCAAGAGCAGTTTCTTGCCCACATGGCTAATCTTGCCATGTTGAAAGCAAACTCCATAATGAGTTTCTTTGATGTCCATCCTCCTTTCTGACGTAATTGGTGTGCCAGGAGCAGTTGTGTCTCACTGACAAGAA